TTAGAGTATAGAAATTGATTTTTCTCTTGTTTTTCTGTTTTCTATTTTGTTGATTTCCTAGCTAATCTTTTTCTTTTCTTTGGGCTTAATTTTTTCTTATTCTGGTTTCTTAAGGTGAAAGTTGAAGTAATTAAATTAGAACCTTTTTCTCTTAACATGTGTTTTATTGCTATACCTTTACCTATAAGTGCTGCGCCCCAGAGATTGTTTTTTCAGCTCTTTATCCCTCCGCTCTCCCTTCACTTTCGGGGACTCTAGTTACATTTACACATACTAGGTTGCCTGAAGCTGTACCACAGCTCTCTGCAGTTTTTCTTAGTGTTTTCTTTTCCTGTTTTTCATTTTGTATGATGGTTTCTTTTGCTATGTATTACCTACCATAATTTTTTCTTCTTTTCTTTGATTATGTTTAGTCCACAATTCCATCCATGCATTTAAAAAAATCTCATTGTAGTTTTCACTTCTAGAAGTTTGATTTGGTTGATTTCTATAGCTTTCACGTCTCCACTGAGCACGTCCAGTACTTCCGGTAGCTTCCTGATCATATGGAATACAGTTTGACAATTGTCTTAACATGCTTATCTAATTCTTTGTCATTTCTGGGTCAATTTAATTGAGTGGTTTTTCTTATTATGGGTCATATTTTCCTGTTTCTTTGCATGACCTATAAGTCATCCAATTTTTGATTGGATACCAGACCTTGTGTATTGTATCTTGTTGGGTGATGGTATTTTTAATATATATATTCTTGAGATTTGTTCTGGGATGTGTTTAATTATTGGGACAGTTTTATCTTCTCAGCTCTTTTAGGCAGTGTCTAGTCTACAGTTCATTTTTTTTCTCCTATGGAGGCAAGACCCTTCCTTCTATTCAATCCCAGAATTTCTCAACCTCTCAGCACTATTGACATTTAAGGTTGGATAATTCATTGTAGGATGTTTATCAGCATCTCTGGCCTCTACCCACTAGGTGCCAGTAGAGCCCATCTCCTATGGTTTTAACAACTAAAAATGTCTCCAGATATTACCAAATGTCTCCTGTGTGTGTGTGTGGCGGCGGGGGGGTGGGGGGGATGGGGACTGCCCTTGAGAATCACTGTTCTAACTGATGTCCTGTGACTTATGAGGCTTTCTACTCTGGCTGATGGTGCTATTCCTGACTGTTTTTGAGTTCCAGTGATTTTCCCCCTAATACCCTTTGGATGGTTCTTTCCCCCACCTCAAGCAGTTTCTTTACACATGTGCTCATCATTACTCAACTGAATACTTGTGAGGGACCCTCTGCAGATCTCCAGTGTTGAGCTCTCTCCTCTTTGGTACATTGCCCTGCAAATGCTAGCCACTTGGCCTCCCAGGGCCCCTTGCTCCATCTTCTCCACTAGGGAGACTGTCAGGCTCTGCTTGAGTTCCCCCTCCCTGCGCTGTGGCCCAGGAACTCTCGTCAGTAAACTGAGGCAACTCAAGTTTGCCTCTTTTATTTCCCATCTCAGCAATCTCGTCTCTCCCATCCTTTGCTTGTGTTTAGTATATTTTTGTCTGATGTTTTATTTGTTCAGGCAGGTTAGATCTAGTCATCTTGATTTGAAGGATTTTCTTTGTGATTTTTTTAAAAAGCTCATTTGCATGCTAATTAGAAAAATTTGAGAGGAAAAATTGATAATGTGAGAGGTGAGGATTACTGAAGAAGGTGTGAAAGGATGGCTTAGATCCAATGGAGAGGCGAGTCTCAGAAGCACAGCTGATCCAAAGTTAAGAGGAAAGAGGCATTAAGATGAACAAACCAAGATATGGACACTTAATTTACTGTTTTCTAGATTTTTTTTCTATTGTAAATATGGTGTAATAGGTATAGATGGGACAGGTATATATAGAACAGTTAACACAGGTGTGGAGAGAACACAAAAATGTTGATGGGCTGTTAACTAGGATTGTGGACTCACAGGTGACTTTTGGGGTGATTTTTATTTCTAAGCTTTTCCTATTACTATGTATCACTATTAATTTATGTATTAATAGTATATAATGTTACATAAAGAAAATATGTAGAGACATTTTTAAGAATTTGAAGGAAAGAAGATACCTGGACATGTTGTTTTGTTCAATTCTCAGCACCCAGTCATTACACTCCTTTGCCCAAAACCTCTTAATAGCTTCTCATCTCATTCAAAGTCATAGTTCTACCAATGGCTAACTAGGTCTTTCCGCCTTCATCCTTACCTCATTTCTCTAGCTTCATCCACTTCCCCCTACGTTCACTTTGCTCCAGCCACACTGGCCTCCTTGCTGTCTCCTGGACAAATGAGGTATCACTCCTACGTCAAGTCCCCTTCACTTGTTCCCGTATGCCTGGAACATCTTTCCTCCAAAGTTTCATGACTTGCTTCCTTATACTCATTCATATCTTGACTCTCATATTTCACTCCCAGTGAAACCTTCCCTGGACAATCTATCTAAATTGCAATACCCTTCCTCCTCAATGCTTTGTATCCCTTCTCTCCCAATATATTGTCTCCTTACCATTTGCCAAGACATACAATATGCTTCTTTTTTCCACTGCCATCTAGTTTCCACACACAAAAGCAGTCGATGTAAACTCCAAAACAGTCTTGGACCTCAGCAACTTCAAATCCAGAGGCCCGAGAATTTTAAAAAGAAGGCCCCAAAGAACCCTGTTGAGAGGGTATGGAGGCCATGGGGAGGCTCCAGGGTCATATACAGGGGATGCTTGAGGGGAATGCCCCCAGAGCAATGGCTGGAAGTGGGTACCGCGTACTCAGCAGTGTAATCCTCAGTCTGAGGCCCAAGTTAATCTGTAGGAAGGATGGAAGGAAAATGAAAAAGACGTGACTGTGTAAGAAGTTTTTCATCTATAGACACTGCCAACAGCAATGTTCAGTTATTGGTAGCATTTAAAGAGTATGTGTATGGTGTGTGGTGTAGAGAGAATACAGTAACAAATGGCAGAGGTTGACAGAGGCCAAATCATGGAAGGCCATGCTAATTTTATTAACCTATATATAGTGCATAAAGTGTTAAGTCTAGAATTTAAAATTACAAAGGTTTTCTACAAATCAATAAGAAAATACAAATAACCTATATTAATCAGGACAGAAACCCAATTCAGTTATCTTAAACAAGAAAGGGACTTTATTGGCTCACAAAACTTTAAAGTCCGGAGGTAGGGCAGGCTTTAGGCACAGCTGGATCTAGGGCCTCCAGAAAAATGACATCAGAACTTAGTTCTCATTCCTTTCTGCTAGCCTCTGAGTTTCTCCTCAGACTCTCTCCACATGGTACAGATTCAGGCTTACACAGTCCTTAGTTCGTGGGATCTGTCGAGCCTTCTTTCCGAGAGTTCCAGCAGAAGTTCTGTTGAGGGCTTTCTTTAGCCTGGCTTGAGTTACATGCCCATGCTTTAATCACTGTGGCTAAGGAGGTGTGGGACTCAGGAAGGCCAGGCCTGGTCATGTACTCACCTACGCCACAGGGAATGGGTTCCCCACAATAAATAAGGATTCTGTTATCACAAGATGGGGAAAGAGATGCTGAATAAACAAAAACAACATATACCCACACACAACCCAACAGAAAAGCAGGTAAAGGATACAAACAAACAATCCATGATAAAACTATAAACGGTCAATAAATACATGAAAATACCCTCAACCTCACCACTAATCAGGGAAATGCAAAATGATCCTTTTTCTTTTTTGCCCATCAGATAAAAATTATCAAATGTAGGTAAGGCTACGTGGGGAAATGAGCACTCTGTGTGTAATTGGTGAAAACAGAAAGTTATGAAGGCCTCTGGGGAGGCTAAGGTGGGGTCTGGTCTACCAGAAAGCACACCCTTTGACCCAACAATCTCATACTCCACCCTAAAGAAATATTCACACACATGCACAAAGATACATGAAAGAGATGTTTACTTTGGCAATGTAACAGCAAAAGAAAAAAATATGGGAATATTTAAATAATGGTATTTTCATAGTATTGAATACTATTTAATCATTAAAGAAATTTAAAGACCTCAGAATCTGTTTTTGAGACAAAAAAAAGCAAGCTGCAGAACAATACATATATATGATCCTATATATGTAAAAATAGCACTTATATGTGTACATATATTCACATGGAAATTATGGAAAGGAGACTAGATGAATGTACACTAAACTGGGCGCTGGAATGTGATTGGAAATGCTGGAGAAAAAGCTCTCTCTTTGCTCTTGGGTATATTTAAGTTTTGTACAATGAGATGGTAGACATTTGTACTTTCATAATTAAAAAAGAAAAATTGGGAAATGCAATTCACAATAGGAAATGCAAACGGCCAACAAACATAAGATATTCCTCCTTACTAATAAAGAATGACAAATTTACCTATCAGAGTGGCAAAAATACTGAAGGATTCAGGGTTGGTGGGAGTGCAGGCAAACAGGTACTCTACTGATGCAATCTTTACAAAGGTGTTTCTCAAAATGTTAAATGTGCATGTCTTCTGACCCAATAATTATATTTCCAGCTATTTACCCTACAGAAATACCCACACGGGCAGCAAATACATACAGATGTTAACTCTATCTTGATCTATAATAAAAAAACTGGAAATAACCAAATTACCTACACAGGGGTTGGTTAAAGAAGTTAGCATATTGATGCAATGAATTAGTATGCAGCCATTAAAAAACAATGTGTACATCAAAGTGGGAGGGAAGGGAGACACTTTTCAGTGCAGTAACATGTAAAATGGGGATATGTACCTACCTCATATGGTTGCTGTGAGGATTACGAGTTAATCCAGGATAAAGCGCTTCCAACAGTGCCTGTATACAGCGACCACAAGTGTCAGCTATTAACACATTTTTGCTTAAATATGTATAAGCCTAAGTCTGGAAGAATATCAAACCAAATAATTACTACTTCTGAGTAAGACTGTGAAAAGGAATGTCCTTTTTCATTTTGTACTTCTGTACTGTAGAAAAGTCAAATGAGCACATTTAATAGCTTTTACATTTGTTTACCGTTAAGATAAAAGCATAAAATTTATCAATCAGGGTTCAACAGCCATCATTCATTGTATTGTGAAAAAAATATGTCCCTGGAGTTCACAGCACTAGATTTGAGTTTTAGTTCTAACTGGCCACATGCAAGTCACACGATCTCTGAATCTTGCTTTCCTAAGCTACAAATCTAAGTGAGCTAGGTATAGCATCTAACCCAATGCCTGGCATGCAGGTTCTTTCAGCACGTGTAACCCTCCCTTCAACTGACACAACTGTGGTAGACATATTGCTAAATGACCAAGTGCCAACTGGGTGTGAATGTGGGGACTTTAACCTCCAAGAAAACCACGAGAGTTTAGAAGTAATGCGCACCAAATGCTCAGCGGCTACCAGACAGGCATCAGCCGTCTGCATAGCGTCAACAACTGCTTGCTTAATAACTGAACAGACGCCACTGCTTGACAACCGCCAGGTGACCATTTCATCAGAAGCTGGGCGCTCCCCAGCCTGGAACTGCTAACTGTGATTACCTGTGTGGATATAAATCTATGTCTAGATGAAATCATAAGCCACTGAAGTTATTTTAAATCAGTTTGTCTAGTGGGAACTTAGCCTAACCAGGGATGTCAAGTTCAAAGACCACCACTTCCTTTTCATGTGTACGGTCATCCAGCTTTTTTGGGTCCGGCCCATTTTCCCCACAGAGCCTTGCCTGAGCTTCAGAATCCTTTCTAAACAACGCACAGGTTATCAGAGATGGCAAGACAAACTCCTATTTGCCAACTCTAGAACTTTTTCTAAGCTCTCACATTATACCAAACATCTTTGGTGTTTATGACAAATATACCACAGGGAAGCCTCTTTGCATACAGGAAAGATGCAAGATCTAAAACAGCGTGAAATTCTAGCCAGAAAAAAGTTGCTCCCTTCTTAACCTACCCTGATAAAAGAACTCTGTCATCCCAGCAGTATTCCAAATATGCTACCTCAAAACCTACTTGAAAAGAAGCCAGTTATAAATAAATAAATCAACTCAAGATCATTTTATCTTAGAGCGGAGGAGTTTATAGCTTTATTGGACACTGACTTGTTTCCTCTCAGCCACAAAGAGAAAAAGACCCAAACAAAAGTCCCTACATATTCTTGCATAACTTAAAATACATTATATCATTACTACATATTTATACTTCAATAAATCTTAATCTATAAAGCACATTTCTTATAATTGTTATCAGAAAATCTATAAACAAGCTCCATCCTGCCTCACTTCTCCACCAGCTGGCCTTGCATTTATTACTATGCTTTTTAACAGGCTCATGCAAATCTCACCTTCCATTTTTCAACTGGATCCAAGCACCAGATGTAACCAAAATCTCTGGAACCATGAAATAATTTTATTCACATGGGTCATTTTCTACACAGTTATGCCCATTATAAAAAAGCCTTTTCTCATATTCTGTATTTTAACTTCCAGAGTTTTCCACTAAACAGAACCACAGTACTTGGGATTCTCAGCCAAGAAGTACATAATCCTACTACTACAATGTATTACTTTTATACATTTTTTAAAAATGTGTTAAGACAAAATTTTTTTAAAAGTTCCACCAATTCTGATAGTTAATAATAAACTAGTTGTTAATAACCTAGTTTTTTTTTAATAGAACAATCCATTCAACTTAACATATAAGTACAACCTCAATGCTACTAGAGATTAGTTTTTTTAAAAGACCCACAAACCTCCAAACTGGGATAGAGTTATCTTGGACTCACCTCTGAAGATTGCTGGAGAGCTGGCTAGCTCTTTGAGCTGAGTCTTCCTTCCCCCAAATATAACACACTGGTAAGAGAACTATGGCTCTAGGAATCTCAGAGGTGACCTCCCCAAGGCCTGCGCAGACGGTGGGGGGTGGGGGGAGAGGCTAACTCACATGAAACAGCTTTGTACCAAACGCCTAATGATTTACAGTGGAAGAAATGCCTACCTGATTACGGTAGGGTTACAGTACCTAGCACAGTGCCTTGTCGGTAGAAAATGTCTAATAATAAATGCATGGCTGCTTTGTTAGCCTGGTGTTCAACCCTTCTGTACCAAAGGAATAAAACAGCAAACCTGATACTGTTGCCCACACGTCAGGGATTTTTCTGTCCTTGACAAAAATGAAGGAAAAATAATAATGACTTAGATCTTCAATTCTCTTTTGTTTTCAAAAAGCCAAGACAAACCATTACTCTTGTTCACATTTGCCCCTCAACACCGCCATTCAAAATTCTTCCCTAGTATTACAATTTTTACCTTCAGAGCTTTACAACTATTTATTCTTTAGACTGTCCACTTTCTAATGACACATGAGAGAAAACTATTTTCATTAGTGGGATCCTTCCAAATTACAGGTAAGATGAGCTATTTCTCAGTTTTGCTGCAAGCCCATTACACCCAGATAAATTCCTGCTATACTTCAATTCTTGGATCAAAGTATTTGTCTATCTTCCCCAATCTAGGTGTCCCATTCACTTTTGGCTGTTTTATCACCATCACTTCTTAGATATCTGAGTTTTAAGGCTCATTTCACTTTGAGGTTTTTGGTCATCCTTTATCTTCTATTTTCTGACATGCATATTCAAATTAGGTAGAAGGAAATGAGGGTAAATTTGGAAAATAATGGTCTCAAGTTTTCAGATTTTATAATTCCTATGGTGCTTTCTAATGTAGAAGGGAATGTATCCTTGCAAAAGAACATTTCAATGATCAACAGATAAATAACGTATCTGTCTAAGAAGGAAGCTTTTGAGAAAGGGACAAAGAATCAGGTAGTTCATCAATTGTAAAAATAATAATATAAACATCACATGGAAGAGTTAGGCATTAACACCTGAATTAAGTTTAAAATTTCAGTTTTTAGGCAGGTATGACACCATTTCTTTCAAGATAAAATAATATAGTGGGTGAAGATTTTCTACATTTCCCAGTGGATCTTCTAACAGTCTACAGGGAAACTATTATGTATCATTTCATGTTTTTAATTTTGTCTTCATTTCAGAAGAAAAAGACCTGAGTGCTGATTTTTTTTTAAATTTCTTAAACTTTCACAACATTCAGAAGTTTTTCTGCATTGTGTCTTCGCTGATGTCTAAAAAGGTTTGAGCTTTGACTATAGGATTTCCCACACTGAACGCATTCATAAGGTTTCTCCCCAGTATGGATTCTTTGATGATTAATGAGCCCAGAATTCTGGCTAAAAGCTTTTCCACATTCAAGACATTTGTAAGGTTTTTCTCCAGTGTGGACTCTCTGGTGCTGCACAAGGATGGAGCTCCTGCTGAATGCTTTCCCACATTCAACACATCCGTAGGGTTTCTCCCCACTGTGGATTCTCTGATGAAGAATAAGGGCTGAGCCCTGACTGAAGTGTTTTCCACATTCATCACAAATATGTTGTTTCTTTCGAGAGGGGTTTCTCTTTCTTTCAAACCTGCCCTTGGGGAAACAGGCTTCTCCATATTTATAAATTTGAGGAACACCTATATTGAGAGTGCCAGGAACTTCATGAGATTCTACTGCTGAAGCGATCTCCTGCTTTGGAGCTAGAGCTCCATTTTCAGTCCTAGCATCATCATCTGAAATAAACAGAAAACGTAAATATCACTCATTTCCTCTTCTGGGAGGAAAAAAAAACCTGAAGAAAAATTTTGTTCAAAAATGAACTAAAAGCAAATAGCCTGCATGTCTATAATCAGGACTCTAGTGATGGTAAGGTTGTCTACTCTCAAGAAAGAAAAAAAAGTGAAACAACTGATTATGAGGCTAATGAGGTAAGAGCATGATAACATACGGATTAAAAGGTCATCTCCTAATAAAAGCGGTGACATCGACGAGTGGGTTACACACTGGTAGTCAGAAACCAAAGGGCAGAAAAATGGTAAATTCTAAGACTGTTAGACAGTCAAAGTAATGTAGCCAGGTTGAGAAAAAAATAAAATAAAACTGGCCACCAGGAAATCATTTTAATATTCTCTTCTCCCTGAAAAGGGGAGAAATTACATCAAAATACAATGGTGTAAATAATAATCCATCTGTCAGAAAGTGACTACTTCTAAACTGAGCAAGACAAGGCAGGTCACAGCCAAGATTAGACTAAAAGGAGAATACAGAAGAAGTCCTGCCAAGGAGCTGAAGCATCCTTGTTAGCTCAGGACATGACACTAATTCATCGCACCTTTAATAACTGAAAGTTTTCCTGTAAAAGCAGCTTGCCATATTTGGTATTTGTCATGGTTCTTAGATGATCTGTTAGTTCTAGGCCTCAGTTAGATGTGTCCAGCGAAAGAACAGCCTGAATTACCAACATGAGGTACTACTGCCTGCCTGTAGGCAAGCAGTGGTATGAGCAAGCCTCAATTAAAACTTTCCTGAAACTTTGAGCCTTGAAGAATAGGTAATAAAATGGTGAGCAGCGGTACTCAGACAAGTTGTAAAGTGAGCAAGTCCATAATAAATGATTACAAAAGAGATAAATTCAGGAAAGAAGGCTGACAAAGAGACACTGAGAGGTTAGAGGGGATTAGTGAGGCCTGGAAACTTGAACAGATTTGAGTGTGAAGGAGACAAAAGGTAGAGAAAGAATTGCATTCCCAAGTGTGGTAGAGACTAGACTGCTAAGATGAGGCTATTTAAAAAGAGGTGAGAATAATCCTAAAGTTCAGGCAGAGGAGTTTTCCACCCAGAAAGATCCCACCTCCAACAACCAAGGAGAGTGGTTCTCAAACTTTATAGCACAGAAGGATGTCCCATAAAACGTGTGAAAAGTGCAAAGTCTCAGCAGACTCTAGCCCCACCTCAGAAGTTCTGCCTCACTAGCGCTGCCCCCTCGGAGGGGAAGAAAGCCTGCTCGGAGCTCATTCTGAGGCACACCAGCATTACCCCCATTACCTCAAGGAATGATTCCTAAAGCAGTCTCAAATAAAATGTCATTTTAACTCACATAAATATGAAAAAGGAATCTAGCAATTTGAGAACACATGGGGCTGTATCAAAATAAATAAGTATGTGGAGTTAACTGTCAATATATTGGGAAAGACTAGTCTAAGTGAATTAAGAGCTTTCTATTTAATTTTTCTGTACTTAAAGCATATTATAGCTCAGGAGCGTATTTTTTGCATACTTAGAACAGGTGAAGAATTTTATCCAAATATTTTTACAAAAAAAGCTTAGAAAAAAAAATGACTCTAGGTAGGATGTTAAAAAGCAAAAATTGCTAAAAGTTCAGAAAAGACTTCAGTGATAAACAACAAACCAAAAAAGCAGATTTGAAGAGGTATCAGATAAGCTTATTGTACTAGGAAGATTAAGCAGGAGATTGAAAGGATACAAAATAGATGGCAAATAAGCAATAGTGCATGCAGAACAGAGGGACCTGGTCTACGGGTGGGTGCTGGCTCAGAGTAAGGCAGATGCCAGCCTGAAACGGGCAGGTCTTCAAAAAAAGAGGTAAAAGAGAAGAAAAAGCTGCTGATGTTAATGTCGAGGAATAAAAGACCTACGGTTAGCAAACCAACTGTTACGAGAAAAGAATCAAAATCCTAGTGTGTCTGTGTCTATGTCTAAGAAATCAGGTTAAGGTGATTATCCCCCTCCTCCCTCACAGAAAGAATAAGCAAAGCGTCCTGGACAAAAGGCCCACACACTCTTTCACCCTCCAGCCCACATGGAGTTCTGTCCTCACCACAGTGCCTCAGGGAATGGAGCTCCCAGGATGCCCACTTGAGCTGGTTCTCCACGGCATCGAGCTCAGAACTTGGCAATCCCTGCGCTTCTTCTTGAGATACTATCTCCTCTACTAGCACTTCCCGTTTTCGTCGACGAAGAGAAACCTGGAAATAATAGGGTCTGGTTCAACTGAGACGGAATCTGATGAGAATCGTAACTAAACACACAGAAGAGAAACCATACAAAACATATACTGCGGAGGCAAAGCAGCACAGATCACGGGGCGTGGTGGGAGACATAAACGTAACTCTAACTTGGCTGAATGGAATGAATTCATCAGGTGTGCCTACTGCTATGCCAGTGCTTCTGAGCTGGGAACGTGACAGGCTTACCGGCTGTCCAGGGTCATCTAGTTCACTCTCTAAATCTTCCAGCACTGTCACCGCCTCCTCTCCATTCTCTGGATGATGCTCTCGAACCCAAGTCTGTAGCTCCTTGGGTAGGATGGCAACAAACTGCTCCAGTACTACCAGCTCCAAGATTTGTTCTTTTGTGTGTGTCTCTGGCCTGAGCCATAGACGGCAAAGTTCTCGAAGCTGGCTCACAGCTTCACGGGGCCCAGGTGAATCTTGGTATCCAAACTGCCTGAATCGCTGTCGGAAAACCTCCGGGTCAGGGAGGTGGTTCCAGGGGATACTTGACCCCTCTTCGCCGTCAGGATCCTCCTCCAACTTCACTCTCAGAATTTTTTCCTCCTCATCTGGAGTTGGGATGATAAGTATTGAATCTTCTTCCACTGACTGTGCAGACATCCTGATTTGTAATACTTTAAGAAAAGACAATCAAGGTAGGACACAGGCCTTAGGGAAATACCCCGCTTTCTTCACTGGCACTCTGAAGCACAAGAAATAAAAAATATGTAAATGAGGAAATATCCTAAGAATTTGTACATATACTGATAAAGGAAATACAAATGTATTATTTCACTGGATTAAAAATTCCAATCAATAACACCACAAGTTGGCAAACTACAGCTCATGACCAAATCTGGCCTGCAGCCCATTTTTGCACAATGCTTGTACTAAGAACAGTTTTCACATTTTTCACGTGACTGAAAAAAATTAAAAGAACACTTCATGTGAAAAGATATAAAATTAAAGTGTCTGTCTCCATAAATAATTCTATGTATTTGTTCACTGTCCATGCTACAATAGCAGAGCTGAGTAGCTGCAATAGACACCATATAGCATGAAAAACCTAGTATTTACTATCTGGCCCTTTCAAGGAAAAGTTTGCCAATCTATGATGTACAAAACCCATTTCAACAAAAAGAATTCAAGAAGAAACAGCCCACCTCAGTGTTATCTAAACTCACCTGACCCTGAAACACATTTATCTGCAATTTTGTACTGGTGTTCCCTGACACAGGTCACCTCATAAGCACGGATTGCATTATTACCTGCTTAAAAAAACTTTTTTTGGCAAATTTTTTTAAGGGCTAAGAAATATTTTTAAAATGTTTAAGAACTCCTGGACTTAAAATATATGTGAAAAAATACTTGCTCAGTAACAGATACGTAATGTTGAAAAAAAGCACAAGATGCCATAAATTTTTAAGTATTATTCACCCACCATAAATACCTTTAAATTTGTAATGACAGGCATTAATTACAGCAAATTCTATGAAAGGACACTCTCATAAACTTATCTTCCTGCAGTGGCACAGACTCTCGTCCTTACACTGGATGACTCACAGTTTCCCCAGCTTCTACCTTCAGAGAAACCTTGGGCTATTTCTGTTCTTTTTAGTATCTGCATAGTCATGCCCATGCCATTGTTTACAACACCTATTAGGAATGAGCAATGCAGCTACTCAACGTATCTATTCAGGGCCCGGGATCTGAAAACCAAAAATTTCCAAAAACTTTCTGTAACCCTATCAAGACTGGGAATCAGAAAAGACCTTACGAGGTAATAAAAACACAGGTTTAATTAACAACTTTGAAGCGTGGCGGCCTTATAAACAAGGGTTGGCCAACAGATCGGTATGTTCCTATTCCACGACCCTACCTTATCGACGGCTCAAGCATTCTACGAAAGAAATTTCTCTTTTACGTGAGGAGGTGCGGGGAGGGCAGGCCCCACAGTGTTTGGGCGGGGAGCCTCGTTCCAGGTGACCTGACCACTCCCTCCAGCAGAGTGCTGCTGCGAACTCTGACCCCAGCCAACGACCCCAGCCCCTCTTCCCCGCACTTGCGGCGGCGGCGACAGCGGCTCTCGGAAGACCCAGGCCACCCTGCAGCAACAGCGTCGGAGTCACGGCACTTCCGCCCACGGCGGGGGGAACTACAAGTCCCGACGGCCCCCGCGCAAACCCGCCCCCTCCCACCTCCGCCCGAAAAGAATCCCAGAACCCTCCGCGAGATGCCAGGGCCTCGAAATAGAACAAAACGGGCCGATGGGGGAGGGGGAAGGCAGGGGTCGCGGAGGACACAGGGGACAGAGAACTCTCCGAAGCTGCTGAAAGCCCAATCTGGCTTTCCGTCAACCCCTCCCCATTCCCCAACTGCTGGGCGCGGAGACCGCGGCCTGTCCCTCACGCCTCCCGGGAAGCCGAAGAAGGTCCCCGCCAGGCTTCTTCGCTGACTCTTGCCAAGCGGTCCGCAGCCCCTAGCCCAGCGCACCCCTCACGCCCTCCCCCCACTCTCGCGCAAACCTCGGGCTCGGGAACCGCAGCCGCTGAGCTGTCCACGGCAGACGCAGAAACGCCGCTCACAAGCCGTTTCCCACAAGCCTCCGGCGCGGACTGCTTCCGGTCTGCGGGCCCCAGGAGGCGGGGGGGAGGAGAAGCCCCGCGTTGCCATGGAGATGCGCTCCGGGCGGGGGGAAGGGCTGTCCAACGACAATGGCTGCTTTGAGGCTACTCTTGGCCTAGCGCCTCTCTCCCCCGACAGCTCGGCCTTCTGTGTTCCGCTTAAAAGACAAGGAAAAGAAAGAGAGAATTCTGCCACTAAGATAGTCTTCACGGTTTCGTTAGTCTTTCACATGCATTATCTCATGTGATCCTCACAGTAATCCTCTGGAAGAAGTAATAAAAGCTAGTATTTATGAATGCAAACTATATTGTACCAGGCACCGTCACCGTTCTTTACATGTATTGTAATTTAATTTTCACAGCGACTTTACAATGGCGAGAACATTTATTATCCCCACTTCACAGCTGAGATAATTGAGGCACAAATAAATAGCTTGCCAAGAATTCATAACTAGTAAGTGGGAAGCAAGATTTGAAACCAAGGCATGACTCTAACCTTTGGCTCCCACTGGCTATGCTACAGAGCTTTATTACGACTAATTTCTTTGTCAGAGAAACAAGATGAGACTCAAACCAAGAGCTTTGGCAGTGATCTCACAGTGAATTTGCAGAATGCATGGTCATCTTCTGACTTCAGGCTTGACATTTTGTACTACAAAACAGCTGCCAAAGTGATCATTTAAAAACATATATCAGATCACTTCATTCCTGTATTTAAAGGCCTTCAGTGGATCCCTACTGCCTTAATTATGACATAAAAACTACTTACATGGGCCTGCAAGGCCCCCGGTGGTCTGTTCCCTGCCTCCAACCCACCCCCATTCCCCAGCTCTTAGGTTCATTGTGGCCCAGGGTCTTGCGCCTCCCTGACTGCCTTTTCTCCTGGAAGCCACCCCAGTCTCATAGCACTGGTAGCAGTCATCTCATTTATTCATTTCTCTGGTTTTTGTTTTGATTTGGTTTTGTCACTAAGTCCCGTAAGGGCAGGGACCTTACCTGTCTTGTTCACCACGGTATTCCCACCTAGTCCCAAGATGCTGACTGCCTGGTACATAGAGAACTCAATAAACATTTGTTGAATAAATGAATGAAGTGTGGGCTAGTCACATTGCTGCCTTTGCTAGGTCACATTTCAGGCATCAGAAGCCACACAAAAGAGCCCTGTTATTTAAAGTCTATGTTAGAAGTGCAGGAAGAGCCTTCCAGAAGCATTCCAAGATTCTCAGGCTTCAGCTTTCTGCCTCTTTCAGGAAAGTACCCTTTGCAAATTGCCCTCAGTCTCTCCTGGATTCATGAATGAGAAAGTGAGTGAGTTAGCCCCTGATGGTATAGCTCTACTTTACTCTGTGACCACAGCGTCGTCTCCCCAGAACCCCTGCTACTTCGGATGCCTCTTCTCTCTTTCTTCATTTAGGAGGTTTCAGAAATTCAGCCTTTCTTCTCTCCTACTTGGCTACTGCCACCAACCTACTTGGCTCCTCTTTCTAACCTTTCCCTATTTTGTGACACTAAAGGCTACCTCAAGGCATTTTGTTTCGTTTTGTTTTGCTTTAAGAGGTATTTTTTTTGAAAAAATCTAATTAATATTGGAAAACAAAAAAGGTACACATCAAACAGAAATACTTGGGGTGGTTAAAAATGTTGCAAAATTTTACAAAACTCTTTGCCTGGGATTTATTCTATCATTCCTAATTCTGAGAGAATAAGTAGAAACCACAGTGAGATGTTCCTCTCTAATTTACTCTTTTGAGGGCAGGGACTGCCAATGCCATTTTGAAACACCACTCTTCTGAGCCCCACTATGTGAGGGCTTTCCTAAATGGCAGCCCCTGTTGCCATCTTGAAGATCTAGTCAAGACAGTGCATCATGTTCCTCTGGGCAACCTGAGTGTAGTTAAGCTCCATGCCAGTGCCTGATGACCTTGCACATACCTACATAGATCGCAGAGATGAGGCTTGAGTTGGTGCTGCTCTGAGTCTTGGCAGAACACCTTGTGATCCTCCTGGAATATGGAAGCATGAGAGGTTCCTGAGCTGCTGCTCCAAGGCCATTTGCTACTCAGCTCCCTGTCTTCCAAGGAGGCTGTCATGGAAGCGTTTCTCATGGCTTCCCCGTTCGTGATGAGGCTTTCAGCCTCATTCACCTAGTGTACAGCTGCAGACTATATAAAGGCTTAGACGCATCATAGCATTAGCCCTCAGCAACAAGGAGTTCCACAGCTCACGTTGCAGTCACCTGGCTCTTTTCGTTTTGATGTCATCCTTTTGGTGTGTGAGACAAAGCTCATGGGGAGCTGGCACCTTTGGCTACTCTTGCATTAACTGTCTATGTAAGTCATAATCTCGCTAAACCTACAAAGGGCTCATCCTTTCTTTACCAGCCAAATCTTTTAACGTTGCTTTGAAAGCATTTCATCCATTAATTAATGGTAAAAATAAAAATAAGCAAACAAAGTTAAAAAAAAAACAACCCTCAAAACAGATGGATGCTATCTGGGTTCCAGAGAACTAGAGATGATTAAAATAAAGTCATGATTCCTTCTTTTAACATAACCGTCTTATTTAGGACGTAGACGAGAAAACAAATATTTAGAAAAGAGTTTAAGAATACCAGAAGGGGCATCTAAATGAATTATTATGCTGAGGGGGAAGGGAGGCACTCTGAGATGGCAGAAGTAAGAAAAGTTCTCACACTGGAATGAAAACACAGACTTTCATACTTGTTGTTGTCATATTTCATTCAAAAACAATCTTTTTTAGAATTTTCTCTGACAATTATTTTGGAGCTCTCATTCCTTCCCCTTAGCTCAGAAATCTCTCCCTCTGAGCACTTAAAATATACTGGTAGGATTTCCACTTTTAAGAAAAAAGGCAAAATGCAAAGATAGCGTTCAGCATTTGTTTTTTGGCAAGCCATTCCGGAGGCAGCACGCGGCCCAAGCAGCAAGAAGGGCACCGCCAAACGCCTTCCCCGGGAACTAAGCATCTCAGCATCACGCTGCCATAGCTTCCAGCTGTGTCTAAGGTAATTGCTTCTTTGCTTTACGCCATTTGGGCTTACAAGTTTCTGTAGAACATTCCACTTTCAGTCAGAGGGAGAAACCTGTACTAATGTAGGTCTTCTGTAAAAGTGAAGTGGTGTAAAGTGAACTTGGGACGAGTGGAGGATACCTATACTGGAATTTCATTGCTTTTTAAGGCTGAATAAGGTTTCGCTGTATGTACATACCATATTTTTGCTGATCCATTGATTTACTGATGGAAACTTGGGTTGCTCCCACCTTTTGGCTATTGTGAATAATTCTGCTGTGAACACGGGTGTACAAGTGTCTGTTTGGGTCCATGCTTTCAACTTTTGGGTAAACACCAGGAGTGGAATTGCCATGGTAATTCTCTGTTTAGCTTTTTGAGGAACCACCGAACTGTTTTCCAGTTTCTGCAACATTTTACATTCCCATCAGCAATGCACAAGGGTTGCAATGTCTCCACATCCTTGCCACCTGTTATTTTTGTATTTTTAATCAGCCATCATGATGGATATGAGGTGGTATCTCACTGAGATTTTGATTTGCATTTCCCAAATGATTAGTGATATTGAACATCTTTTCCTATACTTATTGGCTATTTATGTATCTTCTTTGGAGAAAGATGTGTCTATTCATGTCTTTTGCTCATTTTTAAAAATGGGTTGTTTCATTCTTTTTTAATTGAAGTATAGCTGATTTACACTGTTTCAGGTGGACAGCAAAGTGACTCAGGTATAAATATACACGCATATATATACTCTTTTTCAGATTCTTTTCCATTAGGTTATTATAAGAGATTAAATATCTGAGCTATATAATAGGTCCTTTTAATCCCAAATTCCTAATTTATCCCCCTCTTCCCCTTTGGTAATCATAAATTTGTTTTCTATATCAGGAAGTCTATTTGTTTTGTAAATAAATTCATTTGTATCATTTTTTAAGATTCCACATGTAAGTGATATCATATATTTGTCTTTCTCTGGCTGACTTATTTCACTTAGTATGATAATCTCTTGGGTTTTTTTTTAATAAATGATTTGCAAATACTTTCATTCCACAAGTATTTGAGTGCCTATTATGCGCCATGTACTGTGCCAGATGCCTGAGAAACGCCAGTGAAGGAAGCAGCTCATGCTCTCAAGAAACACAAAATCGTGACGGCAACACAGAAGCAGATTTACTGGGGTTAAAAAGTAATCACATTACTTCTCAAATGTGCAAAGGAAAATGGAGCTTACTTTTTTATAACTGATGTTTTTCTTTGAATCCTCGCCCCATTTTGTGGGGCATGGTGGTGGTGAAAGAACTGAATTAAATTATTCAGTCTGTTTTAAGTTCAACTGTCTATCATGGCTGTTTCTCCCTCTGCCCTTCTCTGCCATCTGGATGTCTGGGCAGGAAGTTTACACTCCCTGTGGGGAGGTGGTGCTGTGGATTGGGTCTCAGGCGGGCCTGCTGTCCTCCTGATCTTCTCTGGTTACTATTCTGGGCAGCTGGTCTGCTGTGGTGCTTGCTCAGCAAAACTGCAGCAGCAAGTGATCTGTTCTCTCAGCCAGGCAGGGGGCCAGTATCCCTTCCCTGATGACCTGCCTCCACCATCGTTCTAGCCACCTGTCTAAGATGTGGCTGAGACTCACAGTTCTGGGTCTGCGGGGTCCTGCAGCTCTTAGCTACAAGATATACAAAGTTACTCTACCCAATGATCCCAACTCTCTAGTTGGTTTAATCAGCTATTTTCCAAGGACCCATCAGGCTTGGGGAAATGGTTACACATGTTCTAAGTCACATGGTAGAGACTGTTTGCTAACACTGCATTGCTACTTTTACAATAGTCCAGTGTTGTCGCACAAAATGTCTGTTCAGCAATTGTTTTCCCAATGCACTCAATGACAAGTGAGTCATTTCTCCCCTTTCAAGTTCTCTTAACCCCCTCTATTTCTGCAGGGGTTCAGTGCAGAGATGAAAGGACACCTGTGTCTGACCTTCTGTCTCACCATTCTCAGGATTGGGAGGGCTTTTTCTTTTTATTTTCTTTTTTTTTTTTTTTTTTGCTATCTTATGACTTTTTTCTTCTCAAAGTATCATTCAACCTCCTCTTCCTTGGGCTGTATTTGCAGTTTGATATTTTTAAAATATTTTATTTTATGTGATAAATGTAATGCCAGGGTGATAGACTGTTATGGAATCAACAGGAGGGTGTTGTGGTGATCCCAACCTACGCTTTGGGTGTTATGGTAGGCTTCCTGGAAGAAGTGGCAGCTAAGCTAAAACCTGAAGAATACACAGGAGTTAGATAAAGTGTGGAAGCTGGAAAAGAGTTTAAAAGGAACATATACAAAGGCCCAGGGGCAGGATTTCTAATTCAGAGTGACTTTGGCATACAGTATTAAAGAGGCAATAATGAGAGAATGCTGAAATGGTAAACTGTGGTCAGTCAGATCATGAAGAGCCTCAGAAGCCTCGTTTAGGAATTCTGACTTTACGTTAAAAGAATGGGAGGCTTATGTTTTAAACAAGGAAGGGGCATAATCAAATTTATGCTTTAGAATGTTCACTGTGGTTGAAAGAGATGGATGCATATGAGGAAGGCACAACTGAGGGCCCTTTTGCTCCCCCCACTCAGGGGTTAGCCGTCATCTTGAATTTTCTAAGAATATACCAGAAAAGTATAGGGTTGCAGCATGGGTCATATTAGAAATAAATAAATGTTAAAGAAATGGATCCTGAAGGAAGGCAAACAATGCATAAAAGAGACGGAGAAGGACTGATGGCAGCCAACATCCTTCAGAGGTGGGAAGGAATGATGAGGGACAGAAAGACCCCTCTTTCATTCTGATAGGGAGAGTAAAAGATGGGTGACATATAGGTAAGTTGACAAATTTGGTGGCATGAGATTATGGGTTCTTTTTTTTTTTTTTTTGGTATCGAAGGGGACAAAATCATAGCCATCTGCCCAAGAGGAAGGCGGCCAAGGAGTATGGCAAACACTGTTGGCTGACTCAGCAAGGCTCCCAATCCCCATCTGCCCTGCTTTCCCTCTCGAGGTTGAAAACACTTGCTTTACCAGACACATTTGCAACAAGGAAACATAAACAGAATTTTGCTGGGGTTTCTCGGAAGGGTTTTACTTTTCCTTGTAAAGGAAATGACTATGGCTGGAGCCCCACTTCCTCTTTCTTCCTGACTTGACCTCAGAGGCCATTCCTGGAGCTGAGAAAATGAGAACGATGGAAAGGCCCAAAGAATTGCAGAGACAGCAGCCAGACCAGTCATTGTTCAGCTGCTGACTGCCAGCCAGCAGCAATTCGTCCCCACTCCCCACCAATTTCTGGTTGCAGTCTTATTTGCTTGAGCCAAAACCGAAGGTAGATTTTGTATACAGAAGCATTCCTGATAGAGGAAGTTTTAAGGACAGTGACAAACATCTGATCTGGTCTCTGAAGAGAATAGGAGAGAGGAAAAGAGGGAACATAGGATTATAGATAATAAGGGCTCAGATGAAGTGAAATTCATTTAAAAAATATCTTATTTTGGAGTATTTACTATCTATGGTAATTAATCAACTTAATGGGGGTGCTAATATGCTAATTTGTATCAAGGTTAACCCAAGTCATATTAATTCTCCAGTCAGATAAACCTACTTTTTAGAGACCCATGTAAGCGCAGGAGAACTCAAAGTACACAGCAACACCCTTTAAAGATTCATCCTTCAAAGATGGTATGATTCACATCACCTTCTGGTGGAGAAGTTCAGATTATTCACAATGAAAAGAATGTAATCTTGCAAAGTTTATGGTGGCACCAAGGGGAGACAGACACTTCCCACAGAATACTTGATTTAGATTCTGTCATTTTATTCACATGGTACCAAAAACCTTTTTCCATGATTAAGCAGTAATTCACAATACACATATCTCTTGAGGCATTTGCTGCTTTAATAGATGGCTTGTTCCTCTCTTTAATTACAAAGAGAACGAGACCCAAATAACAAGAATGTCTACATTTTTAATAAATTGGAATATACAAAACCCAGTATATATTCATATTTGCTAGAGCTACAAAGTATAATCACTATCAGAAAATTCTAAAATTAAAATTTGTATTCACCTCTCCCCTTACTAATCTAATATTTAGCATAATTCTAACTAAGCAGAGCACATAATCCCTCATTTGTTTCTGGAGTTACTCCAAGCACTAGATATGGGTGGATTTTCTGATAATGAAATGTTTACACTTCTTGAGGAACTTAGTTCACCATGAGCCCTCTTTTTCCTTCTTCTAAGGACCTTCACTTCTCATGGTTCCATATTGGGTAACTGAGGCACCGTGAGAGACACAATAATCCATGTATTGTTATAATACATACAGAGGTTTATCAAGGATCCCTGGAGGAGGGGACATGATGTTATAGACTGTTAGAATAATTTTAAAAACATACCATCATTTACTGTTTATTTATTTTTTGCTTTTTTTGCGGGGCTGGAGGTAATTAGGTTTATTTCTGTCTATTTATTTATCTATTTTTAATTTTTATTTACTTAATTTTTGCAGGTAATTAGATTTATTTATTTGGCTTTTCAATGGAGGTACTAGGGATTGAACCCAGGGCCTCATGCATGCTAAGTATGCGCTCTAGCACTTGAGCTATACCTTCCCCTAATTACTTTTTAAACAGAGAATCTGATTGAATTAAATGTGGGTAAAACTCAATGGACATTGAACTTTACTGATTTCCTCATTTGTATAAAAGCACCAAAATCCAGGGTCTTATGTCGTGATAGGCTGTCCAGAAATTCATCTCACTAAAACTGCGTAAGACCCTGTAAAGGTTGTCTTGTGATGCCTGAAACATGTTCACAGCTGATTTATGCCAGAACAGGGGACATGAAGAACGCTGAAGGACAGTCATCAGAGCCGTTAAGGGTTCCCATTTCCAAGGTAAGGTGTAGTCTTCTCTATTACATGCTGCACTTGCCAATATTTGGGTAATGTCAGTCTTGTTTGGACAGACTTTTCTTCATCTCCCTTGTTTCTTTATGTTAAGGTGATCATCAGCTTTATACAAGCACCCAGATAGCGCTGGTCGTTATCAGAACATTCACTGTGTTTAGGCCACTCCCTGAAGACATGCCGAGCCACCTTAATGCTTTCACTGAGATTATTTACAATATAAATTGTAAAGGAGATTATTTTTTCCTACATAGGAAATTATTTAGTATCATTAACAATATGTAGGTTCTTAATATTGTACATCAACTATATCTCAACTTAAAAATTGGAAAAAAAACCAAAAAACCAGTATGTGGGTTCTTGTGAGTTTTCATAAGAGATGAGTAAAGTTCCTTTACTCACCTGCTTCCTAACAAGGACCCTGGACATTTCAGCCTAGGTCTTCAGCTACATATTCTTTTGGGTCTCCTCAATCCCATTCTCATATTTTGCATCTGGAACAGAAAATAAAATAGGAAATTAACTCTTTGGTCTAAGAACTCCAATGCTCAAATAATGGAGAATATTCATTTATGTACTGAGTAACTCATATTTCTTTCCAACAGGGAAAACGTACTTGTCTAAAAAGGAACATACTAGGTCATCATTTGTGTTAATAATGGAAACATTGTAGAACATATCTGAGAATGTCTTTTCAAGAGCTGCACTGGGGATGGAAATATGATTTAAGTTTTAGGATCTCAAACATCTGAATTGACACTATACTGAAAAGCAGAAAAGCAAACGATGCTGACAGAAAGTATTCTACATTCTCTCCTGTGGCTTTTATAACCTTTCAAAGGAAACTGGTGCCCACTGAAACCACCGATTTATACTAACGGAGTATTGGTGCCTGTGTCTTCTCCCCTGTTGAAGAAGTTCTCAGTAAATGCTTTGATTCCCTCATAACACTGATGAGACTTTTTCCTGTGTCGGAAGAGGTTTGAGCTCTGACTAAAGGCTTTCCCACATTCGTGACATTTGAAGGGTTTTTCTCCAGTGTGGATTCGTCGATGCTGAATCAGGACTGCACTCCGGCTGAAAGCCTTTGCACACACGTCACATGTATAAGGTTTCTCCCCACTGTGGATTCGCTGATGTAGATTAAGGGCTGAGCTCTGACTAAAGACTTTGCCACATTCATCACACTTGTGTTGTTTTTTTCGAGTACGGCTTCCTTGTCTTCTTTCAGACTTTCTCTCTTGTTCACAGGATCCTCTAAATGTGAAACTCTGGGAAGCATTCACATGAAGGGTGTTAGAAACTTTGTAATGTGGTTCTTTGCCTGAAGAAGTCTTTTGCCTTGAAGCTGATTTCACATTTATAGCTCCGGTGTCTTTATCTGCAATAATACACAGAAAAGCAAATGTAACCAGTTCTCTGTTTGGAAGGAAAGAAAGGAATAATCCAAATGAAGTATACAGAGATTATTTTTCAGCTAGCATGTTTGTAATACAGTATCACAATGTGGAGGATAGACAGGAAAAGGCAGAACACACTGAGAAGATCTTAAGGCAAAAGACAAAGGTTTATATACAGCTGAGGCAGTCAACTCTAAAGATGAAAAGCTCTGTGTGAAAGGCAGAATGGTGAGTAGGGGTAAAAAGATATATCAGAGACTGAGTTAAGCCTGGAAGAAAAGAAAAGACCTAAAAGATGAGGAAGTATTGGAGAAGCAGAGGAGCCACTGCAGGAGAGGAATCAAATGTGGCAGTGGGTAGGGGTAAGCAAGATTCACTACAACAGTATCAGTAAACAAGAATTATAATGATAAAGGAATCACAGTCTCTAGACCATGACCTTGAGGGGTCTCTTAAAAGGACCTCAGGGCCTGCCTGAAGGCAGAAGAGGTGGGAACAGGGCTGAGACTGCTTGCTGCTGCTTCAGTCAAGGCAGCTGTGTTTTCATCCGTTTTATATATTGCAACTTCACATAAAATTTCACTGAGAAAAGGGTCATGCTGCTTAAAAAAGATTTGAAAATCGTGATGAAGATGATGTCAAGGATTCAAAACACTAAAAGATATAAGAATCTAGAAGGAAATGAGAATGTGCACTAGCAGGACACACGGGAGACCTTCTGCAGAAAGCAGCCGAGATGTGAGTGGTGGGCTGAGGCCACCTTCGCACCCCTCACCACGAACTGAACTCTGCCCCTCACCGTTTTGCTTTAAGGAGTGAAGCTCCTTCGATGCCCATGGCAGCTGCTTTTTTGTGGGCTTCAGCTGGCTACGCGGCGTCTCCTGAGTGATCTCACAAGTCGGTAGCTTCTTTGCAAGCATGTCTTCATTTTGCCCAAAAAAGACCTAGAAACAGTTTGGTACAACTGAGGCTGAAGAAAGGAATCAGGTTGAGACTTGAGGATAAAATAACAGAGAAGAAACTATCCTGGGACACAGGGCAAGGGAGGGAGAAAGCAGGGGCACATTCTATTTCCTGGCACAGCTGGGAGCACACTGGCCACACTACACATCAAGGTGTCCTGAGTGAGAGTACCATCTGGGAGCTCTACCTGCAATGAAGCATCAGAGCTCCTGCCTCAGCCTTGGCACTCATCCCCACGGCCACTCTCACCTGTTCCACCTCCCCGTCATGCTCTTCCTCCAGCTCCTCCAGCATCGCCACGGCTTCCTCTCCACTCTCTGGCCGGTTCTCCTGAAACCAGGCCTGCAGCTCCTCAGGCAGCATGGCCAGGAACTGCTCCAGCACCAGCAGCTCCAGGATCTGCTCCTTGGTGTGCACCTCCGGCCTCAGCCACTGACAGCACAGCTCGCGGAGCCGGCTCAGGGCCTCCCGGGGCCCAGACGATTCCTGGTAGTCAAACTGCCTGAACCGCTGGCGGTAGGTCTCTGAGCTATAGAAGCTGCTCCAGTGGCGGCCAGAGACTGTATTGCCGGCCTGCCCTCCCTCTTCCATCTTCACCACCATAATGCAGTCAGGGTCCTCAGAAGTTCGTGGAAGGAGTTTTGACGACTCTCTCAATTTTGCAGACATTTGGACTGGGAATAGTTCAGGACCACCAGGCTTTAATCTTCAAGGAGGTGAGACTCTCCTCATGGACACTCCTTAAATATGATTAAAGAGACAAGTGGAAACAAGACAAAGACAAGTGCTTCTTAGAACAATATAACCAAGATTAGAGACATAAGACTGTACAGAAAGTACTGCCCTTAATCTTGACATAAACCATGCTTTCAAAGAATACTTCCTTCTTTAAGAAAATCAAAGAGCTTAAATGCATTAACTCATATGCATGAGTAATTTGCAACTTATTCTGAAAATCATGCCCACGAGGCTGACTAAATAGCACAGAGATCAGCCAGGGCTGCAGAGGAGCTCCTGAAGACTAGAAATAAGGGAAGCCTGAGTAAAGTTATAACTCTGGGGCAAGCTCAAAGAGCCAATTAATTTTTCCAGCCTGCCACAAGGAGCCCTAAGTTTCATGAGAGAAGTATTTTTGTGTGTTTTTTTTTTGACATTTACTAATTTTTAAAACATTACTTTGGTATTAAATGAACCACTCAAAAGAAAAAAGTAATCGCATATTCCTTCATTTTAATGTATTTCCACTTTTTCATGTTCATATCTACTGCTCATCTGTAATGTCTATATTATTTACATACCCATCTCTTTATTGTAGAATATTGAGGTTATATCTAATTTTTACTATTATAAATAATGCTAGGAGGCACATCTTGAGAAAAATACACTGTTTTTCTCCTTTCAAATTATTTCCTTCAAGGATGTCCCAAGAACTTGACTTATTGGGGTCAAAGGAAGAGTGGCAAATGTCTTGCTATGTATTATCAAATAAATTATAGGAAAGGGTATCAAATCACAATTTCACCAGCAACATAGTGATGTATGGGGGCAGTGGTTTCTCCCAGTATCACCAGCTTGTTAGCAGGAAGGGGTGGGACACTTTCCTTAGTAGCATTTTAGCAGATTTATCACTAGTAACTGATGACTAGTTAAAAATATACATGCCCCTATTTTTTCTTTATCATTTTTCTCCCACTTCACTGAGAACTCTTCTAAGCACTGAATGATATGTAGGGGACCCGAACAAAGCCTGTGGCTGCATAAAGCTTATACTCTAGCAGGGGAGTCAAAGTTGTTACCAAATAAATGATAAAACTTTATAACAGTGATGTGCTGCACTTGAAACGGCAACAGCTGACATACGGAGAATTTACTATGTGCTAAGCACTCTTCTAAGCATCTTAATAAATATAAACTCATTTAAATCCTCACAAAAGCACTATAAGGATATTTTCATCGCCATGTTGTAGATGAGGAACCCGCCAGGGCAAGTTCGGGCAAGATCAGGTCAAGCTCAGGTAAGGAGACCAAAGACAAACGGAGCAGGGCTGGGGTCTGAGTCCGGGTCATCCACACTTTCTACGGTGTTGAGAGGTCCAGAGCCGGTGGCCGGGGTCCCGGCCCAGAGAAGGAGCAGCAGACCCAGATGATTCTGGCCCAAAACAGAATCTGGGGTCGAGACACGAGGGGCAGGAAGGGTTTGAGGCCACGTGTTTGGAGCCGTCTAGGGAAGTTACAAAGGGAGCCCCTAGGCTAACGCAGCCTCTGGAAGTCGCAGGAGAGTGGCCGCCGTCCGGGACGCACTCTCTCCGGTACCAAGAGCCGAATGTATAACTGCTCTCGGCTCTACCCAAGAGACCGAACCCCTCAGTACCGCCGAACCCCCAATACTGCCCGAGGGTCTGTAACAAACCGGGTGCCCAGAAGGGAGATGTCGCCCAGAATCGCAGATCCAGGGGTCTTCCCTGAGGGGACCGACTCTGTCTTGGAAATACCTCCTCCAGCGAGCCGGCCCCCGACGGTCCCGGGACACCTTCCTCCACCACACGACGCCGCTCGCCGATGGGGACCCAACTCCGCGAGCCCGCACGAGGCGAATGGGCGTGGGGGGGAGGGTACGCCGGAGGGCAGGTAAGCGCGCGGGGGGTGATGGGAGGCGGTCCGGCTTTCAGGGCGGAGGTCAAGGGTCACCGAGCGCCTGGGGGAGGACGAGGAGAGGCGGTGCGTGGACGCGCTGCGAGAGGCCAGGAGGTGAGGGGACGAGGTGGGGGCCGTGGAGAAGCGCCGGGAGGCGTGAGGAAGAGGTAGCTGGGGTGGGAGGAAAAGAGGTATGAAGAGGGGGTGCGCCGTAGCGCGTTGGGAGGGGTGGGGGCGGCTGTCGTGAGGTGGCGCCAAGGCCGCGGCCATCCCTTCCCCGCCCCCCAGGTGACCGACGCTTCTTCCCGAGGCCTAGTGGTGCGAATATCCCTCAGCTCTCACCTCCGGCCTGGGAAGGACGACCCCGCGTTGTGGGGGAGAAAAGGGGGGAAGCGCCCCATTGGAAGCTGCTTCCGGTCCTCTGGGCGGGGAGGGGGCGGGGCTCGGGATGCCCGAATGGTTGCCATGGAGACGAGCCACCGCCGCCACCTCAGGCTCCTGGAGAGGCAGCTCTCGGAATAGGGGAAGAGCAAAACCCCGATGGATGCAAGTCCAGCAGCTTGGGGTCCCCGTTCAGAGAAGCCAACATTATTATTTCTCAGAGTACTTTTAGTTCATATTATTTCGTTTACTCGTCCAGTAACCCAGTATGGTTATTCCTATTTTACAGGGAATAAACCCGAAGTTTCTGTGACTTTCCCGAGATCACAGGGGAGACCTATGTGCTGTCTAACGCTACGCACAACTTTCCTGTAATTCCGTCTGCTCCCGTGAGGTTGGCTACACTCCCAAGTATTGTTGTAAGGAACTGGTTTGACCCCTCCACACACACACACCCCAACCCCATGCCTTCACAAGAGGAACTAATGGCCCTGGAAAAGGTGAGAACCCGCGCACGCATATATTTTCCCACCAATGCATATGTATTTTCTCGGAGAATATTAAGTAAATTTAAAAATAAATCTGAGTCTAAATGAAATACAAGGCCACAGCCCTTCATGCTGACTTCCTCCTCCACCCACTTTCCCTAGGAACTCTTGGGAATATACTTGGAGAGGGAAGTGGGGAATTAGGGAGAGGATTGAAAATTAATAAGGAACAATAACAAGAAAAAAATCTTTTTGGTATGAGCAAAAACAAACAAAAAAGGTATGTTAGTACCGAAGTCTGAAGTGGTAAGAGAAAAGGCTGGCTTATTCAGTCTATACCAGATCTAGGGAATTAGGAGAGACACTTACACCGTAATTGACCTACAATGACGTTAAATTTGAAGAATTTTTAAAATTGTTTCTCAAATTTTTCAAATTTTTTTAAAATGTTTAAGAGATGTATATAGTTGATTGAAATTCCATTTAGCACATTTTTTTCATATGAGTGAATATAAGAGCTTTAGTGTGACACATTTTTTCTCAACAAAAATCTTTTATGGGTGTAAATTTAAAAATTATTCCATTGTAGAAGACTTTTTGCATTTATTTCACTTCTGTTATATCACCTTGCTTTTAATGTAGTGTTTCTTTTTATTATTACTTCTTTTTAGTAACTTCTAACATAGCACAAACAACTATGACCACTAGAGAAAAAGTTAACAAATATTTCAAATTGTATGTATCAAAAATGTTCCTAAAAATGCTTTAATAAGTGTTAAGTTGGTGAAGAATTTTTTTTTAAAGAATTCTTCAACAGAGGGCTTTCATGGGATAAGACTTTTTTGCTGAGGTAACTGCTAACAGAAATAACCCAAAAGTGTACAAGGGAATCTGTTTATGGTGACAGTTGGTAGATTAAGTGACTCAAGGTAATGAGGAGTCTGAAACAATTCCTCAAGGGCAATGTTTGGCTGTAGAGTGAAGTCTTAGAAGGTGGTTTGAGGAGAAAATGGATAGCAGTCAAAAACTACAAGGAGAATAAGGAACTGTGAAAAGCCACATGATTTGGTAAGAAGTCAGGAGTGAATTCATCAGTTAGGATTCTACCAAATAGCTACAGCCAAGAAGCTAAAGTTTTTGTTTTGTTTTGTTTTTTAAAGGATCAAATGTAAAAGATTGTCTACAATAGTTCACAGTAGTTCACAGTAAACTAGATAAAGGACAGGCTTTTGTTTGTTTTAATGTTTGGGGGTAGAGAGGAAAGAAATGAGTAGGAACAAGGTCCCAGTAGAGTGTGCATGTAGTATATACCAGATTCATGGTAAATACTGGGAATTCAAATGTAAGATACAGATTTTTGCTCTTTAAGAACTGATAGACTACTTAAGGAGAAGAGTATGTAAATTGGCTATTCCAATCTAAGTGGCAGATGTTTGGATGCAGCTATCTACAGGATGCTATAAAAGCACAAAGAAAGGAAGATGCTGGGGTGGGGGTGGATAGATAGGGATTGGAGCTGTTGGAGAGCTGAGTGTTGATACATTTCAGACTGAGGGACCAGAGTGGAATATTTAGATTGAAGGATGTCAGGTTAGGAGGGGCTGAGGATGGTGAAGAAGTAAGCAGGGGTCTAGTGTTTAAAGATTTGGCAGGCCAGGTAAAAGGCTGTGAACTAAAATTTTAGGCAGGGTCTTGAGTGAGTGGCTCAAGCATATCTGCAATTCAGATAGAACTCTCTGATGACGATGTGTATTGGAGGATGGATTTGAAAGGAGCCCAAACTCAAGGGAGGGCCACCAGCTCTGAAGCTATTACAGGGATCCAGGCTGCATCTGATGGAGGTCTGAACTAGTCTGAAGGAGTGAGGATGGAGGCACATTTCAGGAAACATTCGGGAGGCTGATGTTTGCTTGGATGGTAGGCTGACAGCTGGGTGGATAATGTATCATTAAAGAAATTTTAAAAACGATGGTATGAGTAGGTTTGACAGTGGCCTATGTGGACATTTGAGGGGAGTTTTCGGTAGACTGAATCTGAGGCTGAATGAGATGCTATAATCAATGCCATACAATCATACAATACATAATTAGACATTTTGTGAGATTATGTGAAAACAAATATCAAATGTGCTCTACATCTGAATGCTTCCTGTGTATAAGTATATTAAACTCCCTATAAATTTTATAAGCTACTTATTACACAGTGAAGGAAGAGAGCAATCACTTCAGAATGACATTATAGAGACTTTCATTCCTCAACTTCTGTTCCCCTTCATCACTACACCCTTTCATCCTAACGTATTTGTTTTCTACCTGGTTAGAAGCTTTTAGTGGTGTGGCTCTGTTTCCCATTTTTTCCTTGCCTAGGGTATGCGGGGCAGGTGTATTGGAGACAAGATGCCATATTTCTGTAAGGATAATAGGTTAGGAAGTCAAGAAATTTAGTTTTAGAAATAAAAAACAATTTGCCTGCAATGGAACTATGATTTCCAGAGAGTGGTGAATAATAGAGTGTCTGTAGGAAGTCCAGATGGGGGTACACATTGAATAGCTATGAGAGTTTGGATGGGGGACCCATATGTCCATTTGTGAAAGACATAAATGAAGTACCAAGTTAGGAAAACAGCTAAGGAAGCATCCCAAACTGAGTTCATCTTTTCCCTGTTATACCAACTGGCCATGCTCTCCCAGTTCCTTGCTTTGATAGTGAAAACTGCTGTTAACTCCATATTCCAGGCAGAAGTACAGTCATTGGATGGAGGGCCCACCCTAATCCAGTATGCCCTCATCTTAACTAATTACATCTGCAAAAAATGTGCATTACTAAATAAGGTCACATTCTGAGCTTCCATGGGGACATGAACTTTGAGGGGACACTATTCAACCTAATTCAGTGCCTTTGCCAGCTAAACTGTTTATTGAAATTCACTCTTCTTTGCCTGCTCTGTAAACATGAAAGTGGCCTCCTAAACAGGTTCCCTTTACCAACAAGCATGATGTTGTGATTTGTCAGTAGGGAACGCTGCAGGACGAAGGGGCTTCCCTTCCTTGTTCTGATGTGCTGGCTCAGCATGTGGCTCTCCAGCACCCAGCATGTGGCTCTCCCTTGAGTAGTTTCCTTCTGTATCCTCTTGGGCAGTTTGGAGTCACAGTGTCTCCAGTGAGATACCTCCCTTGTACTCCTGAGGGAAGATTTCCAGCAAGATCCACTACCATGGTGCAAGAGTTCTCTCTATCCAGTGAGCTATGACTGCACTACAGAGGAGGCTTCTAGTAATCAAGTGGCCAGAATGATACACTCTGTGTACATAAGTCGGCCCTTACCCAAGTCACCCCAGAGCTTGCTCCATAGGCCATAATGAAGTGGCCACAGTGGGAGAGATGGAGGCTATGCATAGGCTCAAAGACACGGACTTGAGCTACCCGAGACTGACCTGGTTACAGTCTGTCAACAGCAGAGACCAGTGTTAAGACTCTCAAATGGCACTGGTACCACTCCCCATGGGGACCAACCAGCCACCTGGGGGCAGGTTGATTATACTGGATCTCTTTCTTCATAGATGAGGCAGAGATTCACCCTCCCTGGAATATACGTGTATTCCAAATATGGATTTGTCTTCCCTGAACATGACACTTCAGCCTTACCATCTGGGTACTTATGGGTTGCTTTATGCATTATTTTGGTATTCTGCACAGAGTTCTCATCAAAAGCTCATTTCACAGCAAAGGAACTAGAGCAATGGGCTTATGCCCATGGAGTCACCTGGTCTTACTGCCTTCCTCATCACCTCAGAGCAGTTAGTTGGCCTAATTGAAATTTGGAATGACTTTCTGAAGACTCCATTGTGGTGCTAGTTGGGAGACAACCCCCCCAGAACAATGGGATTCTGTCTTACAGTGTGGAGTATATGCTTTGAATCAGTGACTGTTGTGTGATGTTCTCTCTCCCATAGTCAGAACACATGGATCTGGGCTTCAAGGGGTGGAAGTGGGAGTGGCTCCTTTCACTCTCAAACTCAGCAACTCATTTGCAGAAATTTTCTTTCTTCCCCCAAAAGTTTGAGTAATACTGGTTTGGAAGTCATAGTCCCCAGGGGAAGAAGATTTCCACCAGC